TTTTACTACGAGGTGGATTTCGATCGGAAATGTTGCGTGCATAGGAAAAATCGATAGTGAAACTATTCAACCAAGTTAGAACTGAGAACTTCACTCAAAGGACACCACATCAAATTCAACTTACCTGCACAACCTCACAACAGTCCATTAGCTACAAATCAGTTTAATTTTGACAATGATAAATAGCACTTCAAGAAAATTGCGTACCTTATCCAAAGATCCATCCGAAGGAAGTAATAAAGAGGCTTCCTCACGTAATGCATAGTGTTGAATTATCCTTAAAATGAGATAATTTAAAGAAGTTTCCCACACGAACACTTGCGCGCTAATAGTAAGCACCATACGGGGTTCTTCAACTGTACTCCCGCGCTCAAGAAATGAAGGGTTTTTTTTCTTAAATTCAACGTTTTTCAACCTGATCTCTCTGGGAAAGGCATGTTTGTATTCATATGTGTATGTGAAAGCCGAAATAATTCGAACGAAAAGATTAAAAACTACAATATTGAAAGGGACATTTTCTCATCTAAGCCGAAGGGAGCGCTGGATACGGCTTCTGTACTTGTTACTTAGAGATCAGCGTTCGTAAGCCCACAGGTAGCAAACTGCAATTTAGCTCGGGAAAAATTTGTCGCGCACCCGACTGCTATCATATTCCGCGACAGCATAGGCCATTCTGGAACGTGGTCAAAGAAATGGTTTGGAGGGCAGATAATCAATAAGGAAGTTTCAATCGGTAGAAAAGCTCAAAACGAAGTGAACTTTGAAAGGTGTAGGTTGTCTAGTGATGTGCCCACATAGCCGCTCGGTGCGCTAGGCGCTTGTAAGAATAGTGGGATCATAAAGGAGTTAATGCATGCTCTCCATTTAGGTGATTACAATTTGGAGTTCGAAGGGTGTGGCATCAGTAAGTAACGAGTGGGAGCAGTGTGCCTGTAAGGGTGGTTGAAAATAATTATCGGGTAAATCTACTAGTAGAATGGTAAAATTGTTGCAATAGATTGTGCATTACCCCCCCCGCCAAATATCGACTCACTGTTTTTCTTTTGTAATTCCTCTAAACAATGCCGAACGTGTTCTTCCAAGAACTCGATCTTATCATTTCTCCGCGCAAGCTTCTTTTGCAATACAATAATCTAAACGCAAATTGTAATTAAAAAAAGTGAGCACACTACCACGTTCGCCAATAATAAAGCTTACCTTATCTATCATAACTTGTTGAATAGCAGTGGATTCTGTTGACGCTTGCGCTGACTGAGCGCTGTCTTCGTCTCGGGAAACCGTCTTAACATACGAGAGCATTTTTGTACGATTGAATACAAAATAGGATGTTATTGTAAGCTTAAAAATCAACGACGATGAGCCGTACCGTCACTCTGTCGAGGCTATTCAACGAGCTTGCTCTTGATCGCGCGAACTCGTACTTGGCACTGAATCTCCTGATTGAGGTGGGGCTAGTGGAGCATGGGCGCTGCTCGTATCCACTTGTTTTCGAAGGCTTGACAGTTCATGTTTCAGCTCCTTAACAAATTCGCCTGCTTTGATGGATTTGAAGTGTTCTAAGCTCTTCTATCTCATAGAATGTAATTTTATGACATAGAAGAAGAGTTTCGCAAAGGATAAATGGACGTGTCTTTGAACTTTTTCCATGAATGAGTTCCAGTGAAACTTTTACAAGGCACGGATTGACGACTAACTTTGATATTTGCCATGTACTTCTTCTTGAGCGCCACGTTATCAGTTCGCTCTTCTTGCAACCGTTGAGTTAGCTGTTGGACTGAAACACGAGCTTCATCCATGTTGTTCGCGTATAATGTGTGTGGAATTTCTCATAGATTTCGTACCTTTCACGATCTTTTCATTAAGCTCACTTTTCAATGACGCGATCTCAGTCTGTCCACTTCCGGTAGCCTCTTCAAGATCTTTCTCCTAGAACGAGCACAAAATCATGTTTAGCTAAAACCACGCGTACTGTCCATATCTCAAAGTCTGATCAGGCGTGTCGCCGGAAATGACGTGGCGACCGCCGCACTTGATAGAAGTTGCGTGGATAAGCTGCTTCTAGCCTGCTTGCTGATTCCCAGCGAAGTATGTTGAAGCGGCTTATCCGCGCGACTTCTATCAAGTGCGCGGTCGCCACGTCAAGTCCGTAGACCCGCCTAATCAGACGGTCAGATATGAACTGTATGTAGACTTCAGAAGACATTTACCTACCCTTTCTGATAGCTTCAAGAGTGCGCGGCTTAACGAACCATCAGTCTCTACAAGTTGTTGCTCGAGACGGCAGTTCTGTAACAATAGTGGCGATTAGGTTCTGTACTAATCAAAAATTTTAAAAAATCTGTTGTTCCCTTAGTAGAAGCAACATTTTTTATCATAATTGTTCAGAGCATGACAAAACTTAGTGAATTGTGTGCATACTACGAAGGACAATGCCATGACAAGACCTTGTCCAACCTTGAGCTGCAATTTCTCATAATTTCCCACGAATCGCAAAGACAAATCACCAAAAAAGGCAAGCTGCCGATCAACCGTGGGATGTTACCGCAGTAAAATTAGGAGATGATAAGTTCATGTTGTTTTACCTTCTCTCTCTCAGCAGCCACATCTCCGGCTAGCTGACTGTTTCGTTCCGTGAGTTGCTCGGTGATCGCTAGCATTCTTTCAGCTTGCTGACGGCATTCTTCAGCTTCCTTTTCAGCAACCTATAAAGTCATCGCTGTAAACATTTTCCGTCAAAATAGCAAAATAAATGCGGAACTAGTGAAACAGATACAAACCTCTCGGTCTTTTTCTGCCAGCTCTTGAGCATCTTTCGCTCGTTGCGCCTGTTTTTGACTGCTGAAATTATTTGAAAGCTGTTCTCATAGCTCAAAAAGAAATGATTTTTGGAAAGAAGAAAAAGAAAGGCGACTAGTAAAAATAAGTCAAGGACCCAGTGAAGTAAGGAAATGCTGCCGTAGTTGCAAGGCTACTGTCAGTAGTGACCGGTAACAATCAACCATCACCATAGGCAGGCCGTTTTTGCCATGCGATATATTTACCCTACAGAACTACACCCACCTTAAAAAACTTGTTTTTCAATACCCTGTAACCTCGCAATCTCATCGATGCTGCCGCATGAGCCTCTTCTTCCAGTGATAACTTATCTTCGAGGTCTTGCAGTTTGTTCATAAGGTCGAGATTCTCACTGAAAGAGAAAAATTTCGAATAGGAACAAGTTGAAAACCAAGTCCTAGCCGAGTAATCCAAAAAAAATTTGAAAAATACTGAAATGGTCAAAGTAGGAAGTTCACAGAAAATGAAAACATAACCTACCGCGTCACTTCTTCAAGCCTTGCGTTAGCCTCGCGATTTGCATCACTGAGATGAGCACACTGAGCATTGGCTTCAGTTAGTCGACGTTCCATATCTTGCTGTGAACGGCTCAACTCTTCTGACTCGTGCATTCGGCGCGATTCTAAGATCTAAACTTTGGAATCATGAACAACCTTAACGGTCTATGACCTTCATTTTACTGCTATCTGCTCGCTACCAAAAAAATACCCTACGAATTTGGTCTACTTCTTCTTTTGTACTCCTACTTGCCCGTTCATTATTTAATGGCAGTTACAGGTAAAAAGTAGATCAACTGTGCGCATACTACGAAGGACAATGCCATGGTAGACCTCGTCCAACCTTGAGTTGCGAATTTTTATATCTTCCACGGATCGCTGAGACAACAACACCAAAAATTGGAGATCTGCCGATCAACCGTGGGAATCAAATCTTAAAAGCTGGTAATGTCAGCTATCTCTAGGAAACGAACCTGTGTCTTCAACGACAGCTGGCGATTCTCTTCTTGGAGTTGTCCTTTCTCCTCCTTCATTTGTATGAGCTGCTTCCGAAGCACATCGTTGTGTTGCTTTAGCTCAACTGATGTGGTATTGCAGGCCTAAAACATAGTCAGGGTACAGTAGGTGGATGGGCACGTGTCAAAAGTGGAAATGAGAATGCAAAAAAGTACGAAAATATAAAATAGGAGAGTAAACAACAGGAAAGAAATGACATTACTTTTTCCTCCCCAAACTAGCATCAGTAGACACCCCGAAGGCAGAAGGTTTGGTTAGCTTTGCAGGGTCAACCCCCAATATACAAGTAATAGAACATCAAACCGTGCGTCTAATTAAGAAATAGAGATAAGTAGTACATGGCTAGATGTTATGGATATGGGGTGTTTCTGAGAAAAATATTGTAACGATGACAAAAAAAATTTAGACGGTTCAAATGATAAAAATCAAGGAAACATATTATCAAAACTTCATACCTCTGCTCTTTTCTCTGACATTTTCAATTTGTTTTCCAAATCAAATTTCTCGTGCTTAACCTGTTCAAGTTCTACCCGTAGACTGTTGTTTGCTTTCTCCTAAACAACATTCAGATTTTTCAAATACTACAGTACACACCCAGAATAAACAATACAACTCCAGGAATTGCTCTGACCAATTGCTCAATGTTCTCCTGGCTTTGGCAGTGTTGTAGCTCTTCCTTAGCTTTTTGACACTCAACGAGTTCCTGTTCTTTTTTCTGTATCTCATTTCGTATCCGCATTATCTCCGCCTCTCTCGTAGCATACTTTATTACCGCATCGTTTTTCTCTTTCTCAGCGATATCTGCTTTCTTAGTCAACTGAAAATATCTAATTTTCTTCTAGAAAAAAGGAAAAGCAGGTGGAACTTACCTGGCTAACTGAAGTGTTGTACTTTAATGAAAGATCTTTCATAGTCACACTGTAGTGAGCTTCCTGGGCAGCAGCTCGCTCCTTTAATAAACGATTTGAACAAAAATGATGAATGCCGCTTTAAAAAATAAATCGGCGAAGGGAAACAAATCAGTTAGAAGAAAACATTAGTATTTCTTCTGTTTTCCATTCGAAGACAGTGACTTGTCATTTGAGCAAAAAAAAAGCAAACCAGCTATTTGAGCAAAAGCAAGGGTAAGTGTCATATAAAATTGTCGACCGTTCTCAAACGCACATGGGTCACTCTCATAGGACGTTTACAACTTCCAAAAAAGACTGAGGTCAGAGGTCGTGGATTGACAGGGTACCAAACGAGATTAGGAAGGGGCGAGCCTGTTATTTGATAGATGAAGTAATCGTTTCCTTTCGTAGACAGTTGAGCTTACGTAAACAGACGACGCGCGAAAACAAAGATGAAGAGCGTTTTGGGGTAAAAACCACAGAAATAGGCGAATGTAAATGCTGGTCAATCAGTCTAGACAACACAGAAAGAAAATTCCGCAAACAAAGACGTATAAATATAATGAAATGCACAGAAAGCTCGTACCTGTACAGCCTTTAACTGTATTTCATAGTCCCGTATACGTTTTTCGAATTCGGACGTCTCTTTCTTTTGAGCGTCACGTAGGTTGCGCAGAAGCTCCTCATTCAAGTCACGTTCTCGAATCGTTTTCAGCAGTTTTTCGCGGTATTCCGAATTCTGTTCTTCTAACCTGAAGAGTCAAATAGACTCACAAAATCATATTTAGACGAAAACTTGGACACACTTTGGGAAACATGACTCGATGAAGTACAATAAGAAGCTCTTGACATTCAAAGAGCAAACCAGGATTGAACCACAGCTTTGAAACGATTTATAAGTGATGAAAAGAGTACGAGGACAAGCCCAGCATCACATAAAGGAACCTCGAGGCCAGTTGAACAGGCCTCCGGGTTACAACGATGCATTTTCTCAAGCATGAGAAATTTTATTCTAATTTCTGAGTAGCTTTGAATACATCGACGTCTGCTTAATGTTCGGCAGTCTTCAATCTAGCTCTGCTCCGTTAGCTTGTCTTCAATTACCCGTCTCGGGGGATGAATAGGCCATCTGTGCCAGCTCAGATAATGGAGAAAGCTATACTAACGTGTGATTAGCAGTTTCTTCATTGTCATGCTTTAGTTAAGCTTCGTTTTGTTCAAGCATTAAAAAAGCTGCAGGGATGAAACTGATTTTTTCATTGGTGCTGGTTTATTTAAGGAGAGATCGTTATGTGGAGAGTCAACAAACAGCATCGTAGTCCGCAGACCCACCCTCCCAGGATGAAGCTTTGGGAGGGACTAGGAGAGAGAGGCTTGATAGCAATTTTCATATTCCTCGAAAATCGCCCTCTCCTCTAGACTCAGTCTCTATAGCTATGCCACTTCCCCTGGGTACACCAGCGTCAAGAAGTGATCCGTATTGTAATTCGCAGATTCTTATATCTACAAAAGCTTTTTTACGCTTTTTCGATAAAGGTCGTGACGTTGAAAATCAAATACCATGAAACAGATGCACGTGACAGCAACTTTCACACGGACACGATGGTAAGTTTAACTTCCCTCCGAATAGAATGCACACGTAAACTCTCAGTGCGCAAGGGGTGATTGGGGATATCTAGTCGTAAGTTGTTTAGGCATCATAGTGGGTCTTTTTCACTAAGAATAAAGCAAAAAAAAAGAAAAAAATCGTGAAACTTCTTTTGTGATGGTAAAAAGTAAAAAGGAAGTAATTTTCAGAAATAATCTATTTTTATGGAACGCACCGTTCTATTTCTTTCTGCTGAACGCTGTACTTGTCATAAAGTGATTGCAGTGAAGTACACTCATCGTCAGTTGCAGGACATTTCCGTGGCGAGGTTTCCGTAATGGTGATAGGTGAATGGCCTGATGCACCATTGGAAGAACCTATTTCTGAACTGCATTCATCCATCCCTGCAGATGACGCAGTTTCAGGACATCTAGAATGCACAGCATTAAAAGCGCAACACACATCTCTGAGTATTATGCGCATGAGAATAATAAATTGATTGCCAATTAAATAGTAGAAAAAAACACCAAGAAAGTAATTAGAAGTAATCTGTTCAAATAGAAATACAAAGCGATTCGTCGATTGGGAAATCGGACATGGAAAAGGAAATTTCCAAACACCATGACTGGGAAGAAGCCGAATTTACTCGAATGAAGTCGGAACTGAGAATTTCCGAGGAAATGGTTTGACACCTTTTATGGTATTCCTGCATGTGAAAAAAGTACAGTGCATTGCAGTCGTAATACCGAGTCGCGCGAAAAATGAACTGGGATTGACGCGACATCGTGCAGCGACTTCCGCGACATCGCGCGGTGACTTCCTGCCACACACTCAGAAGAGTTGGCGAGTACGCGTTATTTTTTTGGGCGCACAGCTTGCGTTCGCCTTTCAAGTTTCAGATTTGAGTTTCGGATTAATAGCACTAACAATAAGTAGCGTATATCTTTGCTACTTTTTATCGCGTGAATGTTCACGACGGTAAATATTTCAGCAAAGGCGTTGTTTTTGTGCGCGTGGCGAGGTCTCGAGCATCGGGTGCATTTCTATCGAATTTGGCTCACCGCCGAACGACACATTACTTTTTCAAGCGCTGAAATAGGGCATGACAGCCAACGGTTATATTTCTACATGAAGAACACCTATAAATTCTCAGCAGATCGCATCCAATTGTAGGAAAAAAAAGTGCGCGGTCTTGCGGGGACGTTGTTCGTATCGATCATTGTCTTCTGAATGTTCCTCAATGGATTTCATCAGAACTTGTATTTCAGTGTTTCGAATCTACAACAGTGTTAGCACCGAATTGTTCCTACTTAATAAAAAGACGCCGTATAATAAAATGTGTACGGTACTGTGCACAGGTGTGGTTCGCTGGGTGAGAAAGCGAATTTTCCGCTTTTCACAGTGGAACTTTTTCGCGGCAAGAATCCCAGGTCCACTCTCATCAGTGGTGGACCTGGAGATTGCGAAGAGCGGAAAACTCGCTTTCTGTCCTATCAAACTACACTCACTGTGCATAGAGTGCTTCGGGGGTGGGTTCACTAGGACAGAAAGCGACTTTTTCGCGGCTTTCGCAGCGCGAAACATTTTCCGCTGCGGGAACCTCAGGTCCACCGCTGATCATCAGTGGACCCGAGGTTCCCGCAGCGAATCATCAGTGGACCCGAGATTCCCGCAACGAACAATGTTTCGCGCTGCGAAACGCGAAAAAGTCGCTTTCTGTCCTAGTGAACCACACGCTTGCTTCAGACTCTGCCACACGCTCACCGTGCAGTTGAACTCTTTTCAGCTGCCTAGATCCGTTGAGCGTTTTTTTTTCGGCGCTCATCCGGTAAGGGGGGGGGCATTGTGATGCAACGTCTAATAGCTGCCCTCACCCCCACCCCCTGAACTGGCTTCACTCCCCCTGGCTCACGGGGTCCCGTACTTCGAGAAACCTGTGCGCCAGGGGGAGTGTAGGCAGTCTAGGGGGGGGGGTGAGGGCAGCCACTTGATGCCCCCCTTACTGGATGAGCGCCTTTTTTCTTCACAGTAATTTAAATCGAACTCGTGTCGGTCTGAAGTACTCCTCGGAAGCAATTTGAACTGCAGCTCAAGAGGGAAAAAAAAGGTAAAATATTAGCATTACTGCAATGTCCAATTGCAAACAGCACATCAAATTGGCTTTTCTGAAATGTCTCATTACACACATTTATTGCCGGTACTTTCAAGGAAGAACGTCATTCGACGTTACATCATTTAGCTTGACGTGAGTCATCGAAGTCAATCACTCTTGTTGAGAGACAAAACAAAAGATTGACAACAATGTGATGCGAGCCAGCCACGTTACGCTTACATGAAGCCTTGGCTTCATGATTTAGCGTACATGACCTAAAGTTTAGTAAGGACGTAAAAGAATTATGCGGATGGTGGAGAGCAAGTTCGGCAAACCATTTGGCATTCATTCGAAGTCAGTGGTATGACAGGTGTTCATTTATAACCAACACTAAAATGTGCCTACAACAATATTCCCTGTATGACCGTTCGCAAGACAAGGGGGGAGAAGAGAATGGTATAACAATGGTGCACAATCCCTATCGTTCCCAGGTATTCTGATAACAATAGCTTAAAGCAACAGTCCCGGCAGAGCTTTCACATTCGACACTAATGGTGTGGAACGATGCGGTAGCCCTAAGACATAGTTGGCTTGAGCGAAATCCATCTTAGAAGCCGTAGAAGAGGAGCTGAAACGGGCTTGAGTGGCGTGTGTGAATGGCTAGGGAGCTGCACAACGACCGATTCAACACGCCACAAACCGCTCAGCTCTCCCTTCTAGCGGCCTTCCAAGCTGTGCGGTTTTTTGTTCAGTCACGAACTTCACATCTTGTCTAGATACGCACGTCCACCCTTAGTAAGGTGAAACCTGCTGGTTCGCCGCGCCGCGCCCAAGGGTTAGGTATTGTCTGCGGAGCCGAGGACTGTTGTTTTAACGCCAATGCAGAGGGTCATGCATCAGGATGAAATAGGCTTTCTGCAATAATAATAGACTATTAAGCATTACTAAAGCGTTTGAAGTCACATTCTGCGCAGAAGACTGCATGGGTTATTGCGCCCGAAAGTGAAGGTGCTGTGGTATTTGGTTCTATGAAAACTCTTGAAAGCAGAGATTGCAGCACTTTCATTGGTCGGTGGCAGCTTTCGATATGGCAGGATACGGGGGAGAGGGTCGCCGACAAATGAAAGCGCGCCAATCCGCGCCCATGCTACCAGCGAGGTGGCGCGGTTTCAGGGGCTTCTTAGTAGTTTGGTCGTGATTTCATTCTGGTCAACTGGAAGAGCACACTTAATTTTACTTCGGCGGCGCATAATCTACACTATTATCGTGGATAAGCCTTGAACTCAGATGTCGTCAGACGCGGGTGGAAGCGCCTCCGCAATCGAGCGAGTGTGGACGGATACCGCAGTCGCTACGACGGAACGAATGGCTGCAGGGCGGAAATCCGAGGATTAAACGATCACACAAGAATCTACGCTTTTTGAGGTGATTTGAGATTTCTCGAAAACATGCAAGCTGAGGCGTTGCAGAGCAGGTGCCCGGTACGATATTAAGATTTACTGAGGCAATCAGCTCATGTGTACTCTCACCTCAGGCCTAAGTTATTACTGTCCAAATGCACTTACACACCAGACCTTCGATCCGATGGAGCGTTCAGAGTTTGCGATCGTACGTGCGATTAGGTGAGAAGGAGATCAGTAAAGGACGTATCGACCTTTGCCTCCGCCACTGCTGCGATCGCTATCGCTTTCCGAATCTACATATTATTTCCTAATAGATTAGTCGAAAAATCACCTAATCGCACGGTACGACGGCCAACTCTGAACGCTCCAAAGGACTAAACTATCTAACTAGTATAGGAAGTCTGACGAATTCAGCACAACTGTTTCATGTGATGAATCGCTAATACAACAAACGTACTACTTAATGAAAACAGTAGTTAATACAATAATGTTCTTCTGCTGACAAAGTTATTAGGTGGTAAACTTTATTAATGGCCTGACGTTTCGAGCAGATCGTTTCCTCGGAAGATCTAGTTCGATCTGATCGAAGCGTCGGGCCGTTTGTAAACTTTTCCACCTAATGACCTCGTTGGAGAAGATCGTTAAACCCAACAGTGTTGCCAAGATTTTACGAAGGGAGAAGTTGGAAGTTGTTGAATTGCTAGTTTCGAGAATGAGGTCTTCCAGAACCGACGCTTCAATAAAAAAAAACCTTAGGATTTTGTGAATTAGACGGTTTCTTTAGCTGTTGTTTATTCACATTCACAGAAAAGAAAGTTTCGTGGTTATTTCCATATGCAAGTCCCGCGTGAACTCAAATTGCAATAATTATTATCTATGAGAAAAAGTTCATGTGACAGAAGAAGAAAACCACGTAAAACGAAAGCGTCGCAAAGGGTCGGTTCTCCAACGACAAGACTAGATTCACTATGGGGTTTAGCTGTGAAATAATAGTGGTTCTGAATATGACAACATGTTTTTCAATTCGATGGAATAAGAGAGTCAAAATGCGGGGCTCATTATAAAGTGAAAAGAATAGACATAGAACGACTGAGAACGTTTGTTCCAGCGCTAGAATTGAAATGAAAGTAATTCAAGTGAGCTGACATGATGTACATACGAGTACAAGACAAAAAGACGATTAATAACGTAGCCGTGCAAACCGGACGGACGGCCGGCCGAGTTCCATTCGCCGTCGCCCACTTGGGGGGTGCCTATCGATTTGTTTAGCGGGGGCGCATGGGAAGGCCGATGAGGGCGCGCTTCACCTTGGAAACGTCACCGTACGGCGATCTTCTTTCATTTAACCCGTTGTCTCAGTTACATGTCCGTTAGCCAATCTGTTTATTCTATTTGGTATAGTTTTTTGAATTCCGTGATGAGAATAACCGCAATTTACGTGCCAAGTGCAATGGTACTTCGCGCTCGTATTACTATTGAGCTCTTTTTTTTTGTGAATTTCAGGGCAGGGTCTTGCTTGTGGGCCTATTTCAAGGTTTTCTGTAATAAGATATTGTTTCCCATGGAAACTTAAGGAATCCCTTCAAAACACAAGTCTTCCAAGTGGTTTTTTTGTCACTTGGTCTAAAGGTTGTCTCATCTGCGGTGTTTTTTTTTTTTGAAACTCTCCATCAATGGTATTGGCTAGTGGGACTCTTATATGAGGGGGGAATTTGATAGAGCTGGCTCTGGAATAAAAAAGGTTAGCGCTAGCAGGGAAGACGCTCTGAGGAATAGCCTCTGGTGATCAATTTCATCGCCACCAATTCTGCGTTGCACTTTCTATGTACTTTGGTTTTCCTTTTCTCTCGTTTCCCTTTTTAGAATGAATTTCAATTCAAAATTATCGTTCTGTTGTTCTCGTATGT